TCAACTGCAACTACGATATCTCAGTCTCTTCAAGACCTTCCAAGCTAGAACTGCCGAAGGTAAGCTTTTAATTATTATTGAATCAGATCTTTTCCGCTAAAAGTGGTATCGTTGATCCATTTTTCACGAGGGAAGTCTATAATATCTTACACCATCTTTCTCATTATTATTTATCAGATACTTAAACCTTATCTAAAAGAAGTCATCATTATATAGGAGATTATATGATGGATCGAAATTAGAGTTAGGATCTCTTTCAGAAAAACCTTTTATAGGAAACTTTCGGTACTGAAGGATTGACGATATATATATAATATCTTCCACTAAAATCAACAACTGTCATACAGAACATGATGTTGAAATAATCACGATAATTAAGTCATAATTATAGAAAAAAATGTATCTAAAAGAATCTTCTAAAATTTTTGAAAGAAAAATCTAGCCTGACTGTGCTTAGTAACAATTGTCCATTATTAATATCTCACGGTTTTTTCTTAAGACTGACGCTAACTCATATGTCTATCACGAAAATGAAACAGTTCTAGATTGCCTGCAAAATGGAATGGAACACAATCCGAAAGGTTTGGTATATGATGGCTATTTTCTACATGTCTTGGCTTGAAGTTACTTCGCAGGGACAAGGTAATTTATTCAATATCATAATTATAGCACTGTTGTGATTTAAGGTGGCTCAAAACAGTTTCTAGCACTTAGATTGTGATGGGTCGTTTATAACTACTCTTTATCACTCGATGCTACAATCATGGTTTAAAAAAAAACTGCCCAATCATTGGTGAACACGTTGTTATTATTTTCGTGACACAATAGGTTACCATAGCAACAGTATGACCTGCTTAAAAAAACCTTAATTTCAGCTTTAGTGGCTTATAATTCGAAAACGGCACGATGAATTTTTTTTTTTTTTTTAATATCAAATATTACTAAGCATGATAAGATGCAACTTTTGGCAAAGTTTCAAAGATATTTGTACATAGGGCTCAGAGCCACCTTAAATTTTCAAAAAATGGTGTCACAAAAATGGTAACAACGTGTTCATTAATGATTCGGCACTTTTTTTGATACCATGATTGTAGCATCAAGTGATAAAGAGTGGTTATAATGACCAATCCAAATATAACTGCAGAAAAACACGGCAAGTACGCACTCCTTATTGGCTGACCCTCGTAAAAGCGAACTCATGCTGAATTAGCCTTTTAGAAACCGTCGGAGGAGGAGCACTGTGGAGAGAATTGAGGGGGATAAGAAGATTCTTATGGTTAATAAAGCATTAAATATTTGCTGCTGAGTATTGCCTCCAGCCAAATGATTATGAATTCAAATTCACAAATCAAAACTAAATTGATTAGACCCATAAAAAGGGACGCTGCTCCTATTCGAAGAAAAGAGGAAATAGAAATGTCATGTTTTGTTGTGTTTTCTCAAAGAACGAACGAAAAGCTTGCTTAAAAAGTATAACAAACAAAGTTGGTGATCCTCTGACAGCTCCTTGTAAAACCTTGGAGAAAAAGGCTTGTGGCAACCGTTTCTAGGTAAATAAGAATATCGACAAAAGTGTTGTTAACTCATGGCATACATATTTTATCGTAAAAATAGAACCAGAACCCACAGTAAGGACCTCTGCGATATTGCTTTGGTCCAGCGCTGCGAACACGGAGACCTTTCTTGGCCATTTTAGAACGCCGCTATGAAAACGCATGGCTAACAATTCCCTGAAATTCTCTGCCGATTTCTTTGCAAACCAAAAAAAGTGCAACGGACACGGTCAAAAGGCCAATCCTCCCTGATTCAAAACGTGTAAACATCGTCCTTGGCTCTTCTAGCGGCAGCAAGTCTAGTTTTAGTCAAGGAACAGTTGCCAAAGGCTTTCAATTTAATTTGACCCTTCAGCATTTTCACTGGCATAGTTGTAAGTCAAGGGCTCGGTTTGAATTTAAGATTTTTTCTCTTCTGAATATACACAGCTTAGGTGTAGCTGACATACGCCAAACTACCTTGATCCAAAATGCACTACTGGCCCACTAATATTATACATATTACAAAGGACTCCACTGGCTAGGAGTCAATTTGGGAATATTGCGAACTCGTATTTAGTGACTTCATTGCACAGCAGACTGTGTTAATTCTTGACTATTTTCTTTTTTTTACTATTCTTTTATATAATAACGCTGTTAAAGTGCCAATCACAAATAACTATAATTATACTTTAGGCTTAAAATTTGTAAAGAGTGTGTTTAAACGAGCTGTTATTAATTTATGTATTCGGCTTACGTGTACTACTTGAGCTTTCAAAAAAAAAAAAATCATTAAGTCATTTCTAGAATTATCAACTCCAACCTAATTTTATCAAATAAATCTACGCGGGCTCTTGTATGCTCTGCGGACCTATATTTTCCTGTTTTATGGAATTCTTCAACGTTCTTCAAAAATCTTTCATTTATCCGAATCCACCAATTCCTCTTGTTGACTCGCCTACTTTTTTCTACACCATTCCCATTATCCATGTACTGGCTCGGAGGAGCCTTTGATTTATTCTCAAACAGTATAGAACTGAATTAGAGATGATTTCCAATGAAGAAGAGAAAAAGACCTGTATTGCCTTGGTGTCCCTGATTCAATATGGTTGCCATGGCGTCATGCTCTAGGGATAAGGGCATTTTAGGAGTACAGTCAAAACTTCCGCGATTGTAACCGAAAAAGCACATTGGAGTAAACTTCTTGGAAGGTCACAGCAAAACGGTCTATATAAGCACATTTGACGTTAGTAGTTTCCAAGTGCGCATTTTAGAAGTGTAAACATCATATTACTCGAAAATTATATAGCTACGTACATACATAGTCGGACTGGAAGCTTGAAATAAGATGACGACGACTTGAAATGATAGAACATTTAGGAATCACTTTCTTGGGAAGCTGGCATATTTAGCCTTGAGTCATCGCCAAACAAGAAAAAAAAAACAGCAATGATTTCAAAATAAGCCGGTGACATCCGCTATCTACCAATATTATTAATAACGCAATATTGCTTCCAGTACACTCTTTTTTCCTAAGAAGATATTTTATAAGAATATAGACGCTTAGATTTACAAAATTTTATGAATGTTTCAGGAATAAACCGCGAGGCTGAAATTTTGAAAAGGATATAATTTCGTGTTGAAAATGTGTAAATACAATACAACGACATGTTTTTAACTAAACCGTACAAAGTTCTTCCTTTCTGTAAACGGCGAAACTTGCCAAAAAGCAACAAAAGCAACACTAGCCGTATGTTCGAGGCTAATAAAATTAATTTTCTGCAAGAGGTTATGTGCATCATATTATAAGCTTTATTGCCTGCAGTCTGGCTCCAAAATTACTTTTTAAAACACCATAAGACACTAAACTCGGCATTCGAAAACAGAAATGTCATACGCTATGATCTAAAAATATTGCCAAGAATATTTTCAGCCTAAGATCAGCAGAAAAATAAGAATATTCAGCCTCGGCCGGAAAAACAATATCGTTATATGAAAAAAAGTGTATTTTGAGTGCAAAATCAGCATGTATATTTTCCTGACGTGTCCCTGTAGATTTCTTATAAATGTGTCATACACTAATTTTTCATAGTTTTTCAATATGAAGGCGAGTTCCTGTTGCTGTTTATCTTGTTAATTATTGTGACCGTGATGGTTGAAGTATGTTAGCCTTCAGCCTAGCTCGATATTATTTGCGGTCACGCATGAAGCAAATTGATTAATTTCATCGTGTAACGAAAACCGCGAAAGGGTTACCCAACGAGGATAAATTAAAGAAAATAATATTGTTCAACTTTTAAGGCATCAATTTGAAAGTTCTGCATCCACATTACGTTGAAGGAATTTAAACACCCAACAATCGATCACCAGTCATTTTGGATTTGTGTTTGTGTAAAACCCGCTCAGGGAAATCACATGACTTTCGTGACGCCATCATGTTCGAAAAAGTTCCGTTTTCAAGTGAAAATATTTTTCCGTCCACACGAAAACGAAAAGCCGGCGATTTCAGATTCCTCCGGTTTGAAGAGCGTTTTCGAAAAGCTCTGTTTTCGTGACGGATTAGTGTGGACGGTAGGACTAACAATAGAGATAAAGCCTCGTTTTCATAGACATCATTTTTCCTGACGTGTCCCTTTAGATTTCCTAGACATGTATCATGAATTAATTTTTAACAGTTTTTGTTTTTCAATATGAAGGCGAATTCCTATTTCTGATCGTCTCTTTAATTATTGTGACCTTAATGCGTGATGTGTATTAGCCTTCAACCTCGATATTATTCGCCTTCACGCATGAAACCAAGTGTAATAATTTCCGNCCCCCCCCCCCTTCCCTCCCAAAAAAAAAAAAAGAAAGAAGTCAGCCCTAAAGGCTGCTACTGTAATTCCGAAAGTAACGAGGGTCGTGTAGGATATTCAAATAAGCGGCGTGTTCGCTACTTTTACATTACTGCATGATTTGTCCCTGGAACGAGGCTTTTTTTCTATTGACAGAACTTTTTTTGTGTGTGTGATACACGGTTAGTTTATTTATAGATATATTAGAATTTAACTTTCGCGCATGTATCTTTTGTGACTGATGATGTTCTTGGGTCAGAGTCTGTTTATGTACACGTAGTTATCTACTGGTTATAGATACCGAAGCACGCAACCTCGTCCAGCATGCGTCACTCGTTTCTAATAATATGTTTGATTATAGTGATTTAGTTAGTAGCCGCACGAGTAAGATTTTGAGTGTTTTGTTAATTAGTGATGTAATAGATTACCTTCAAGAAATCCGTTTCGTTCCATGGGAAACGATTTAACAATTTAACAAGACATGGTGCTTGCTGAGTTACTGAATTTATGTTACCAAATTTTAATCTTAGTTAAAAGATTTCAGTGTCCAAATTGAGATCATTTGCAGTTTTAGGTTAGCCCATATGTATCTTGTCATGGTTTTTTGTTTCCTCACTCATTTTGTTCAGGAGTTTAAGTTTGTTACAGTAGCTGCAAGGTGGTCATGTTTGCATGGGTTCGTCAGTACTGACCTTGTTTAGGCCTTCCACTGCAGTTCCTGTTTTTGCGAAAGTTTTTAAAAGTGCGAGTGTTCATCTCGTTGTGTCAAGTGCAAGTCACAAGTGGGAATCAGCCAATAAATATTAGATTCCTGAAACCTCTCGCAACGTGTTGCCGAGCGCCCAATACGGGAGCGTTTCCGTATTCATATCACCAAGGTCATTGCGCAATTTACGTCAATCTCTTTTTTTTTAAAACTAAACCGTTCACATGGTGTGCAACAAAATATAGATTTGTATGTAATTACCTTGTAATACGACCGCTAAAAGGAGTAGTGTGCATTGTCTACCTTTAAGGATATCTCTTAAGCACTCTTTAGATGTCCTCTGGTCAATCTGTAATGAATCGCAAGTAAAATAGAGGTAGATTCGCCACCTCAACCACAAAGTAACCACAAAGCCTGTTTTTTGGCCCATAGAGATGTTTATTTCTTTCGCTTCGAAGAAACGAGAACCTGTCAGTTGACCTGTCGGATCAAGCAGCAAATCTTTGGATAAAGTAAAATAAATATCGTTAATCTGTTAAGAATATCCTTCCATTGTTTATATAAGTGCACTTGTATCCAATATCGAGCCTCTAATGAATGTGGTTTAAAATACTTGTTGCACAATACAGCTCTATTCGCGAAATTCCCACTATTGTTAAGCTACTTAATTTGTTGCGTCAATAATGAAGTACATGTCCTTATAGGTTTTCACAACACTGGGTAGGAAGATGAGCCGTTCTTCAAGAATGTGATATATACATGTCATCTGTTTTAAGACTTGTTAGTAGCTCCCAGGAATGATCTGGTTCAGTTGGATAACTGCGAAAACTGAATTATATTGATATACACATATAATCAACTGCAACTACGATATCTCAGTCTCTTCAAGACCTTCCAAGCTAGAACTGCCGAAGGTAAGCTTTTAATTATTATTGAATCAGATCTTTTCCGCTAAAAGTGGTATCGTTGATCCATTTTTCACGAGGGAAGTCTATAATATCTTACACCATCTTTCTCATTATTATTTATCAGATACTTAAACCTTATCTAAAAGAAGTCATCATTATATAGGAGATTATATGATGGATCGAAATTAGAGTTAGGATCTCTTTCAGAAAAACCTTTTATAGGAAACTTTCGGTACTGAAGGATTGACGATATATATATAATATCTTCCACTAAAATCAACAACTGTCATACAGAACATGATGTTGAAATAATCACGATAATTAAGTCATAATTATAGAAAAAAATGTATCTAAAAGAATCTTCTAAAATTTTTGAAAGAAAAATCTAGCCTGACTGTGCTTAGTAACAATTGTCCATTATTAATATCTCACGGTTTTTTCTTAAGACTGACGCTAACTCATATGTCTATCACGAAAATGAAACAGTTCTAGATTGCCTGCAAAATGGAATGGAACACAATCCGAAAGGTTTGGTATATGATGGCTATTTTCTACATGTCTTGGCTTGAAGTTACTTCGCAGGGACAAGGTAATTTATTCAATATCATAATTATAGCACTGTTGTGATTTAAGGTGGCTCAAAACAGTTTCTAGCACTTAGATTGTGATGGGTCGTTTATAACTACTCTTTATCACTCGATGCTACAATCATGGTTTAAAAAAAAACTGCCCAATCATTGGTGAACACGTTGTTATTATTTTCGTGACACAATAGGTTACCATAGCAACAGTATGACCTGCTTAAAAAAACCTTAATTTCAGCTTTAGTGGCTTATAATTCGAAAACGGCACGATGAATTTTTTTTTTTTTTTTAATATCAAATATTACTAAGCATGATAAGATGCAACTTTTGGCAAAGTTTCAAAGATATTTGTACATAGGGCTCAGAGCCACCTTAAATTTTCAAAAAATGGTGTCACAAAAATGGTAACAACGTGTTCATTAATGATTCGGCACTTTTTTTGATACCATGATTGTAGCATCAAGTGATAAAGAGTGGTTATAATGACCAATCCAAATATAACTGCAGAAAAACACGGCAAGTACGCACTCCTTATTGGCTGACCCTCGTAAAAGCGAACTCATGCTGAATTAGCCTTTTAGAAACCGTCGGAGGAGGAGCACTGTGGAGAGAATTGAGGGGGATAAGAAGATTCTTATGGTTAATAAAGCATTAAATATTTGCTGCTGAGTATTGCCTCCAGCCAAATGATTATGAATTCAAATTCACAAATCAAAACTAAATTGATTAGACCCATAAAAAGGGACGCTGCTCCTATTCGAAGAAAAGAGGAAATAGAAATGTCATGTTTTGTTGTGTTTTCTCAAAGAACGAACGAAAAGCTTGCTTAAAAAGTATAACAAACAAAGTTGGTGATCCTCTGACAGCTCCTTGTAAAACCTTGGAGAAAAAGGCTTGTGGCAACCGTTTCTAGGTAAATAAGAATATCGACAAAAGTGTTGTTAACTCATGGCATACATATTTTATCGTAAAAATAGAACCAGAACCCACAGTAAGGACCTCTGCGATATTGCTTTGGTCCAGCGCTGCGAACACGGAGACCTTTCTTGGCCATTTTAGAACGCCGCTATGAAAACGCATGGCTAACAATTCCCTGAAATTCTCTGCCGATTTCTTTGCAAACCAAAAAAAGTGCAACGGACACGGTCAAAAGGCCAATCCTCCCTGATTCAAAACGTGTAAACATCGTCCTTGGCTCTTCTAGCGGCAGCAAGTCTAGTTTTAGTCAAGGAACAGTTGCCAAAGGCTTTCAATTTAATTTGACCCTTCAGCATTTTCACTGGCATAGTTGTAAGTCAAGGGCTCGGTTTGAATTTAAGATTTTTTCTCTTCTGAATATACACAGCTTAGGTGTAGCTGACATACGCCAAACTACCTTGATCCAAAATGCACTACTGGCCCACTAATATTATACATATTACAAAGGACTCCACTGGCTAGGAGTCAATTTGGGAATATTGCGAACTCGTATTTAGTGACTTCATTGCACAGCAGACTGTGTTAATTCTTGACTATTTTCTTTTTTTTACTATTCTTTTATATAATAACGCTGTTAAAGTGCCAATCACAAATAACTATAATTATACTTTAGGCTTAAAATTTGTAAAGAGTGTGTTTAAACGAGCTGTTATTAATTTATGTATTCGGCTTACGTGTACTACTTGAGCTTTCAAAAAAAAAAAAATCATTAAGTCATTTCTAGAATTATCAACTCCAACCTAATTTTATCAAATAAATCTACGCGGGCTCTTGTATGCTCTGCGGACCTATATTTTCCTGTTTTATGGAATTCTTCAACGTTCTTCAAAAATCTTTCATTTATCCGAATCCACCAATTCCTCTTGTTGACTCGCCTACTTTTTTCTACACCATTCCCATTATCCATGTACTGGCTCGGAGGAGCCTTTGATTTATTCTCAAACAGTATAGAACTGAATTAGAGATGATTTCCAATGAAGAAGAGAAAAAGACCTGTATTGCCTTGGTGTCCCTGATTCAATATGGTTGCCATGGCGTCATGCTCTAGGGATAAGGGCATTTTAGGAGTACAGTCAAAACTTCCGCGATTGTAACCGAAAAAGCACATTGGAGTAAACTTCTTGGAAGGTCACAGCAAAACGGTCTATATAAGCACATTTGACGTTAGTAGTTTCCAAGTGCGCATTTTAGAAGTGTAAACATCATATTACTCGAAAATTATATAGCTACGTACATACATAGTCGGACTGGAAGCTTGAAATAAGATGACGACGACTTGAAATGATAGAACATTTAGGAATCACTTTCTTGGGAAGCTGGCATATTTAGCCTTGAGTCATCGCCAAACAAGAAAAAAAAAACAGCAATGATTTCAAAATAAGCCGGTGACATCCGCTATCTACCAATATTATTAATAACGCAATATTGCTTCCAGTACACTCTTTTTTCCTAAGAAGATATTTTATAAGAATATAGACGCTTAGATTTACAAAATTTTATGAATGTTTCAGGAATAAACCGCGAGGCTGAAATTTTGAAAAGGATATAATTTCGTGTTGAAAATGTGTAAATACAATACAACGACATGTTTTTAACTAAACCGTACAAAGTTCTTCCTTTCTGTAAACGGCGAAACTTGCCAAAAAGCAACAAAAGCAACACTAGCCGTATGTTCGAGGCTAATAAAATTAATTTTCTGCAAGAGGTTATGTGCATCATATTATAAGCTTTATTGCCTGCAGTCTGGCTCCAAAATTACTTTTTAAAACACCATAAGACACTAAACTCGGCATTCGAAAACAGAAATGTCATACGCTATGATCTAAAAATATTGCCAAGAATATTTTCAGCCTAAGATCAGCAGAAAAATAAGAATATTCAGCCTCGGCCGGAAAAACAATATCGTTATATGAAAAAAAGTGTATTTTGAGTGCAAAATCAGCATGTATATTTTCCTGACGTGTCCCTGTAGATTTCTTATAAATGTGTCATACACTAATTTTTCATAGTTTTTCAATATGAAGGCGAGTTCCTGTTGCTGTTTATCTTGTTAATTATTGTGACCGTGATGGTTGAAGTATGTTAGCCTTCAGCCTAGCTCGATATTATTTGCGGTCACGCATGAAGCAAATTGATTAATTTCATCGTGTAACGAAAACCGCGAAAGGGTTACCCAACGAGGATAAATTAAAGAAAATAATATTGTTCAACTTTTAAGGCATCAATTTGAAAGTTCTGCATCCACATTACGTTGAAGGAATTTAAACACCCAACAATCGATCACCAGTCATTTTGGATTTGTGTTTGTGTAAAACCCGCTCAGGGAAATCACATGACTTTCGTGACGCCATCATGTTCGAAAAAGTTCCGTTTTCAAGTGAAAATATTTTTCCGTCCACACGAAAACGAAAAGCCGGCGATTTCAGATTCCTCCGGTTTGAAGAGCGTTTTCGAAAAGCTCTGTTTTCGTGACGGATTAGTGTGGACGGTAGGACTAACAATAGAGATAAAGCCTCGTTTTCATAGACATCATTTTTCCTGACGTGTCCCTTTAGATTTCCTAGACATGTATCATGAATTAATTTTTAACAGTTTTTGTTTTTCAATATGAAGGCGAATTCCTATTTCTGATCGTCTCTTTAATTATTGTGACCTTAATGCGTGATGTGTATTAGCCTTCAACCTCGATATTATTCGCCTTCACGCATGAAACCAAGTGTAATAATTTCCGCATGTAACGAAAACCGCAAAAGGGTCACCCAAGGATAATAAATTAAGGACTATGATGTTAACTTTTAAGGCATCAATTCATCAAACGTAGCTTTATTGCAGTTAATAGTATTTACTAGCGTTGGACTAGTATCCCATCCAGGGGAAGTAGAAATAGCCCTACTCGCTTCTTCTTTTTTTGCTATAGAAACCTGGATAAGCTTCGGCCTGATGAGCCACTTGTCTCGCATGCAGAATTTACCTTACCTTACAAGTTGTAGGAGATTGGGAAATAAATAAAATTCACGAAACATCATTCACAAAACAATTCAATGACCATGAGATTCCAAGAAAAAAAATTTGAATCCAAGAGTTTGACAAAGCAGGGATGTTTTAAGGGTGTAACTTGTAGTACAATCGCGTTTCTTAATTTTTCAATCTGTTATATTTATTAACAAGGTTCCGTTTCTGTAACCTCCCTTGGTTGCTACAAAGACAGAGTCACGAAACCAAGTCAAAGCATATTTTCCACCGTGTTTTACCAAGTCAATATCGTGAGATGGTGGCCAAACAGTAACCATATTATACACGCGTGTGCTGCGGCAGCTGTTGCTAGGGGATACCGAATCTTCTCAATCCAGGACTTCGGGGACTGTCGCTGGGGTCCGAACGCTGAACAAGACTATGCCAAATATGGTCATGGTTACTATTGTTATCAAGGACTTGGGTGGATCGGTTCTGGTAGCGTCTACAGAGTTCAAAATTTAGCTCCAGGTTAGTGGTTGTGTCATGATATCTGCAGCTATCCATGCTTTGTAATAACATTGGGTCATTATAATAGTTTTCCTGATTTGTTCATGTTTAGTTAACGGACAGTGGACAAATTGGTCTCGGTGGAGTTCATGTAGTGCAACTTGCAATGGTGGAACTCGATCACGCAGGCGCAGCTGTGCCAATCCTCTTCCATCCAATGGTGGTACATATTGTCGCGGAATAAGCTCGGAAACACAGCTTTGTAACAGAAATCGCTGCCAAATAGCAGGTATGGGTTGACGTGGTTACGGGTTTTTAAATGGAAACAAAATATACCATAATTTTAGTCGACGGTCGCGCGTTAGAGATAAGTATAGGTAATCATATGAATGCGGTTGCAATTAGGGATTTACACTACGAGTAGTATTTGAAAATTCTCTGAAAATTGTACGAGCCTTCAGGCCAGAGCAACTTGAAGAATTTTCAAATATCACGAGTCGCGGTAATCCTTATTGCTCGGGCTTTCATAAGATTGTTCTTTTATTACATGACTGAGAAAATTGGGAAAGCGCGCGCGTTAATTTGGACTGCAGTGCAAATTAAGAAACACGATAAACAGGCCTGCTCTCAGCAAGTCACAATGAAGTAATTTTCGCAGTCACATCATAACGTCTGCTAAGAAAGCGTCAATCATCCATATCGATGTATGACTTTCGATCTCTCTAGTATTCCATCACGGTTTGTTCCCCACGGTTTGAAGTGCCTGTTTGAATAATTATTTGAAGTATGGCAGTGCGAGAAATGTCATACCTAGGATTCAACACATGTACGGAAACGGACTTTAGTATCCCGGGTCGAGTTGTTCATGATCAAAGCCCGATTAAGCTAACTTAGGATAGGTGAGAATTCAGATTTCAGTTTTGGAACTTTTCGGTGAGGTTTTCTGTTTATATTGTTTTTCCTTTAGTTTCGAGTTTGAATAATCTCAAAGTATATAAAGCAAAAGCAGGGAAGGACATAATGTAAAATAAAAAGTAATACTTCGGTTGACTTTTGATCCTGGGTTAACACTAACCCGCCCCTGGAGTAGTGCTGTGCTGTTTTGGTTTTCCCATTTTTATCTGTATATTTAATTTTGTTTGTTATCGGTGGCAGGAGTCTGGTCATCTTGGTCTCCATGGGGATCTTGTAGCAGGTCATGTGGTGGAGGGACACGATCGCGCGTGCGTAGTTGCACCAATCATTTACAATTCAGCGCCAGTGCCGTTTGCCAGGGTCCACGGTCTCGAACCCAGAGATGTAATACCAATAGTTGTCCAAGTAAGGATGATAGAATATAATGAAACTGCCTTTATGTTCCGTTATGAAATGTTTTAACACTTGTTCAAGAATAAGGAAGTAGTTTTATTAATGATAATCCATTAACTTTGTTTCGTTAATTTGAGTTTTGTTTTGTTTTGTTTGTTTGTTTGTTTGTTTTTGTTTTCATCTTCTATGAAGAACTTTATCGCTTTGAAAAAGTTTTTAGTACACGAAATAAGACAGTTTTCTATGTCTATGAATGACTTATTAAGATTTGCATTGGTCAAGTTAACATTCGTCATCTATGAGCTAAGTAGGCACTAGTACAAGAAACGATAACCATACCATTTTAGAGGAAAACTGCATACACAGTACACAGATCATGTTATTTCCACACTCGCAATGGCGATTAGTCTGTCAGGTGATGTTGTGGTATAGGATCACAGACACGAACCAGAACATGCAGCAATCCTTTTCCTAGAAACAGTGGAGCCAACTTCCCTGGTCCAAATTCTTAGACCCGAAAATGTTGTCCTAATGATTGTCCTGGCTTGTTGAATGGTATGTTATTTACAGCTAGCTGCTTGCCCTATTGAACATTTCATTGGACGTAATCATTAAATTACTAACAAGATTCCTGAATGTTACATACGCAGCTAGGAATTAAGCTTCAGAAACAACTCTAACCCTCTACAGAAACACAGACCGAGCTGTGTCAACATAAACCTGAGCGTATTTTTTCAATCTTGAGTAATGTCACGGTTAGACATCATTTTTCCTGACGTGTCCCTTTAGATTTCCTAGACATGTATCATGAATTAATTTTTAACAGTTTTTGTTTTTCAATATGAAGGCGAATTCCTATTTCTGATCGTCTCTTTAATTATTGTGACCTTAATGCGTGATGTGTATTAGCCTTCAACCTCGATATTATTCGCCTTCACGCATGAAACCAAGTGTAATAATTTCCGCATGTAACGAAAACCGCAAAAGGGTCACCCAAGGATAATAAATTAAGGACTATGATGTTAACTTTTAAGGCATCAATTCATCAAACGTAGCTTTATTGCAGTTAATAGTATTTACTAGCGTTGGACTAGTATCCCATCCAGGGGAAGTAGAAATAGCCCTACTCGCTTCTTCTTTTTTTGCTATAGAAACCTGGATAAGCTTCGGCCTGATGAGCCACTTGTCTCGCATGCAGAATTTACCTTACCTTACAAGTTGTAGGAGATTGGGAAATAAATAAAATTCACGAAACATCATTCACAAAACAATTCAATGACCATGAGATTCCAAGAAAAAAAATTTGAATCCAAGAGTTTGACAAAGCAGGGATGTTTTAAGGGTGTAACTTGTAGTACAATCGCGTTTCTTAATTTTTCAATCTGTTATATTTATTAACAAGGTTCCGTTTCTGTAACCTCCCTTGGTTGCTACAAAGACAGAGTCACGAAACCAAGTCAAAGCATATTTTCCACCGTGTTTTACCAAGTCAATATCGTGAGATGGTGGCCAAACAGTAACCATATTATACACGCGTGTGCTGCGGCAGCTGTTGCTAGGGGATACCGAATCTTCTCAATCCAGGACTTCGGGGACTGTCGCTGGGGTCCGAACGCTGAACAAGACTATGCCAAATATGGTCATGGTTACTATTGTTATCAAGGACTTGGGTGGATCGGTTCTGGTAGCGTCTACAGAGTTCAAAATTTAGCTCCAGGTTAGTGGTTGTGTCATGATATCTGCAGCTATCCATGCTTTGTAATAACATTGGGTCATTATAATAGTTTTCCTGATTTGTTCATGTTTAGTTAACGGACAGTGGACAAATTGGTCTCGGTGGAGTTCATGTAGTGCAACTTGCAATGGTGGAACTCGATCACGCAGGCGCAGCTGTGCCAATCCTCTTCCATCCAATGGTGGTACATATTGTCGCGGAATAAGCTCGGAAACACAGCTTTGTAACAGAAATCGCTGCCAAATAGCAGGTATGGGTTGACGTGGTTACGGGTTTTTAAATGGAAACAAAATATACCATAATTTTAGTCGACGGTCGCGCGTTAGAGATAAGTATAGGTAATCATATGAATGCGGTTGCAATTAGGGATTTACACTACGAGTAGTATTTGAAAATTCTCTGAAAATTGTACGAGCCTTCAGGCCAGAGCAACTTGAAGAATTTTCAAATATCACGAGTCGCGGTAATCCTTATTGCTCGGGCTTTCATAAGATTGTTCTTTTATTACATGACTGAGAAAATTGGGAAAGCGCGCGCGTTAATTTGGACTGCAGTGCAAATTAAGAAACACGATAAACAGGCCTGCTCTCAGCAAGTCACAATGAAGTAATTTTCGCAGTCACATCATAACGTCTGCTAAGAAAGCGTCAATCATCCATATCGATGTATGACTTTCGATCTCTCTAGTATTCCATCACGGTTTGTTCCCCACGGTTTGAAGTGCCTGTTTGAATAATTATTTGAAGTATGGCAGTGCGAGAAATGTCATACCTAGGATTCAACACATGTACGGAAACGGACTTTAGTATCCCGGGTCGAGTTGTTCATGATCAAAGCCCGATTAAGCTAACTTAGGATAGGTGAGAATTCAGATTTCAGTTTTGGAACTTTTCGGTGAGGTTTTCTGTTTATATTGTTTTTCCTTTAGTTTCGAGTTTGAATAATCTCAAAGTATATAAAGCAAAAGCAGGGAAGGACATAATGTAAAATAAAAAGTAATACTTCGGTTGACTTTTGATCCTGGGTTAACACTAACCCGCCCCTGGAGTAGTGCTGTGCTGTTTTGGTTTTCCCATTTTTATCTGTATATTTAATTTTGTTTGTTATCGGTGGCAGGAGTCTGGTCATCTTGGTCTCCATGGGGATCTTGTAGCAGGTCATGTGGTGGAGGGACACGATCGCGCGTGCGTAGTTGCACCAATCATTTACAATTCAGCGCCAGTGCCGTTTGCCAGGGTCCACGGTCTCGAACCCAGAGATGTAATACCAATAGTTGTCCAAGTAAGGATGATAGAATATAATGAAACTGCCTTTATGTTCCGTTATGAAATGTTTTAACACTTGTTCAAGAATAAGGAAGTAGTTTTATTAATGATAATCCATTAACTTTGTTTCGTTAATTTGAGTTTTGTTTTGTTTTGTTTGTTTGTTTGTTTGTTTTTGTTTTCATCTTCTATGAAGAACTTTATCGCTTTGAAAAAGTTTTTAGTACACGAAATAAGACAGTTTTCTATGTCTATGAATGACTTATTAAGATTTGCATTGGTCAAGTTAACATTCGTCATCTATGAGCTAAGTAGGCACTAGTACAAGAAACGATAACCATACCATTTTAGAGGAAAACTGCATACACAGTACACAGATCATGTTATTTCCACACTCGCAATGGCGATTAGTCTGTCAGGTGATGTTGTGGTATAGGATCACAGACACGAACCAGAACATGCAGCAATCCTTTTCCTAGAAACAGTGGAGCCAACTTCCCTGGTCCAAATTCTTAGACCCGAAAATGTTGTCCTAATGATTGTCCTGGCTTGTTGAATGGTATGTTATTTACAGCTAGCTGCTTGCCCTATTGAACATTTCATTGGACGTAATCATTAAATTACTAACAAGATTCCTGAATGTTACATACGCAGCTAGGAATTAAGCTTCAGAAACAACTCTAACCCTCTACAGAAACACAGACCGAGCTGTGTCAACATAAACCTGAGCGTATTTTTTCAATCTTGAGTAATGTCACGGTTTTTTTTTCGAACGATAAATTCTCCCCGGGTTGCTGTGTTCGAACAGTCACCTTCCACAGCTACACGTACAACTATATCTTGAAATCATACAAAATAGTAACGAAAGCTATTAACATGAACAATAACATTTTAAAACAAAGCTACGCGCATAGTAAACGAGCTTTGTTATTTCCTTAGTTAACGGTGCCTGGTCGGCCTGGGGATCATGGAACTTGTGTTCAAGATCTTGTGGCATGGGAACACAGGCACGTTCAAGGACATGCAGCAACCCTTTTCCTAGGAACGGCGGAGCTAGCTGCCCGGGTCCAAGTTCTCAAAATCGCAGATGCAGCTCTACCAATTGTCCAGGTTTGTTGATAAAAGCAACCGTTCAAATGATTCAAATAGACTATAAGCACGACCTCTACAATATTTCGGCTGTAGTTGGCGAAAGACGAAGTATTGAATCAGTGGTCATTGAGGCGACAGAAATATCTTTAGGCACATGTCTTATTGCATGTATATAAGCGTGATCCAGTGGCCGTTCGATTAACCCACGTAGAATGTCGACAAAGCAGATCAATTCATGGTTGTTTTGATCCCAAATGAATAAGACTGAAAATGGTGTCCTCCAATGAATTCTTCATTGATAGACAGTAGTTACAGATTTCAAGTTTATTAACAGTCGTCAAAAGTCTTAGTTGCTCTGCGTCGGCGGGAATGCAAGTGTTCTATTTAACTATGTGTCAAACTGAAGGCAATCAATCAGTCAATCATTTAATCAGTTTATTAAAGTCATTGCGTGAAATTGAGGTTGCCCTCAGTATCCGAGCCAGAGGCTCATGTATAAAATGCATGTCATGTATAAAATGCATGACTAAAATAAAAAGGGAATAAATAAGATAAATTAATCGACGAGGTGAGTTTGTGAAGTTTATGAGGTTTCGGGCGTTAGAGCCCTGGCGCTACTCTAGCATTGGGTTATGCTAATTCTCGTTCAGCCATGCGCTGGTGGCGATTAGAACGACGTGTTTACTTGGAAAACTATTCACAATATAAAGGGAATTTCAAGTTCCTTAGGAACTAGTGAGGTAGCAATGAATGCAATTTTTGGCTGTTCAATNATATGAGATATCAAAACTACTTTTTTACTGTTGAGGTCCTTGGAAACCTCCCACCCTCCCCCAAGCCGCCGTTGATCTGAAAAGGGTTAACACACCTAGAAGTGGAAATCCACTTGAAGTGGAATTGACAGAAATATTATTTACATGTACACTATATTCTGATTTCAATTTATGATGATTTCTCCGCAGTCTGTGTTGAAGGAACCATCGTCACTGACCGGTGCGGTCAGCGGTGTAGATGCTCTGGTGGTCGCCCAGTTGGCTGCACACGTGTCAGACGAGAATTCACATCCATGTCAAGAGCTGATCGAGAGAGGTACATAAGAACAGTCATCACCGCATCAACAGATGCTAGATATAAGCCAGATTACGACCGACTCATCACCTTGCATAAGACGATATTTAGATCAGGTATTCACGGGCGAGATCATTTCTTACCATGGCATCGCTGGTATGTTCTTCAGTACGAAAATCTTCTGCGGCGCATCGACTGCACAATTACCGTCTCTTACTGGGATTGGAGCGTGATATCCCATACTCCGTGGCGTGGACGTGAGTCTGATCTTTGGTATATTGGAAACAGCGGTTTTGGCGGGAATGGACAGCAAACGCCCGAACAGTGCGTGACAAGTGGTCCTTTCAGGCGAGGAACCTGGAACGTTGTACCGTCAGCCGGCGGTGGGTGTCTACGTCGGCAGTTGAACTTAACGGGCAATCCCCCTGATTCGGTAGCCGTCGCAGAGGTCTTAAGGACACGTGCCATAGACTTTGATTCGTTTGAAATTTCTCTTCGAATTAACCTCCATGACACTGTCCACTGCCTGATCGGGGGTCACATGTGCTCATTTGACTCAGCTACTTCTCCGGAGTTTATGCTCCACCATGGCTTTATTGATAAGATCTGGATGGATTGGCAAAGGCAAAGCAACGCACATAGAAACGCGCACTACCCTAGAGTTGCTGACAACATGCCCGGAACAAGACAACTCCACGCTAGAGCAGTTTTAGACAATTTCAGATTACCAGGAGGGGTGCGAGTACGGTACCAGGCTACAACAATTCCACAATTACGAAGTGTGCTCAGGCGTTTAGGAGGTAACCAACCGTTTAATTCAACAGTTACGATACTATTTCTAGTCGTAAAACATCGCTAACTCATCGGGGGTGGGGAAAGAGAAGACAGTTAAATACTATCTCAGTTCATTATCAAGTAATAAGCCTTTTTTGCCCCCGTACTCTGGGAATTGAACTGGAACTATCTTGTAATGGAGGCTTATCCGGGGAAATATCATTAAAAAGAGATTAATGTCATTTGCATTTGAAAAGATCCCCTACATTAGCCTTAGTTGCAAGCTAGTTCATGATGGGAAAGTAATGAAAACTTATTGCTTCGTTGTTTTCCTCATGCCATCAGTAACTTTGACTGACTTTTTTGTATAAACGTAAAACAAGAAACTGCTTTGAAAGGCAACATACACAAATTCGGATGCCGATGTTAAAAGCCTAGTATTCTGCTCACTTATTAACCCTCGGACGTACAAGCTAACTCAAACCTCCGACGTGGTAAAAAGGAGGTTGATGGAACCCCTTCCCCTGGGTTTTCGTTCTGTTAAGGCATGGCAAAATAAATTTACCTTGATTAGATAGCGCTAAGCTTGCTCTACAAGATGGTACTATTTTTGTTGGTTATGACGGAAATTAATGCAAAATCAAGCCAGAATTCCATAGCAATTTGTAGAAGTGTTACGACTGCATTCGCATCTATCATCATGTCAAGCCAGAATGCTTATGAAAAGTACAAATTCGTGAATGTCTGCAATTTGATGAAGAAAACTGGAAAAAAACAGAGAGTTATGGCAAAAAGTTAATTTTTGGCCAAACCTATATGAAATTTGCGGTTGCCATGGCAAAAATAATATACACAATACTGACATATCAAAATCTCCGCAGAGGATGAATGAACAGCTAATAAAAATTTCAGCCCCTAAGAGTAAATTGTCTTTACAAAAAGTTGAAGAAACCTTATGGGGAGGTGAGGGTGGTATTCACCTCCTTCCCCCCTTGTACGTACGAAGGATAAGCACCGCGCAGGTGTCTACCGTCTTTATAAATCAGCAAATTTCATCCAACCACTGTTATGAGAAGTCATTTGCGCATCTGTAAGGGATTAACAAGGTGTTATGTTACTTTTTCTTCTCTAGAAATGAACATGAGTGCATTGATTCAAATTCCTCGAAGACATTTTCACGTGCTAAGTAAAGAAGCCATAAAACTGTTTAATGTATCCAAGGCCGAAGTGGAAAAAGCCATAAGAATGGGCCTGAAGCTCTCACCGAGGTCTAGCACACTCCCTGGCAGCACAAACTCCGTTGAAACTTCACTGGGATTTCGGGTTGATTCTCTTAAAAAGACCAATTTTGTGAGAGAAAAATAACTCATTTCTGCTATATTTTTATTATTAGAAGTAGTAGTATTTTTCCTTTAGTTCGCGCCAGCCAAAGTAAACATTCGCCTTTCTATGTGTGTTTATTTCTTCCCTGCTAAGAAGATGTCTGCTATTTGACACTGACATATATGTTCATAATGAGGTAGTTACACAGCTTGGTTCTAATGTCGACGAAAACCTTTAATAGTAGAACAATGGATGAAATCCCTTTATAACGATTCAACTACCCATCATTGCGGAGGTTTTTGAGTAAAATTATCTGTGACCTTTTTATTTTAATTATTATTATCTAACTGAAACCATGCCTAAATTTTGTTTTATGCTCATCATTGTCTATGGCAGCTGTTATTCAATCTTAAAATTAAACTTTTCGTTAATTTTTATCATGATATTAAACTACATTGATATTAGAATATGGCTTGAAACGTCGAAAGCCTATTGAAGGTCCAAGCGCGGAATTTTCTTTTAAAGACCATCTGCTTTGAGATCGAAACGTTTTCTAAAGTTAGCACACGCATGAGATTCGGTTAACGATTCCTTTTCTCTGCCGACAATAGTAATCAATTTAATTTCCTTTTAAAATGTTAATTGTTCATCCTCTACCATGGATAATGTAGGCAATTAAATAAAAATGGTAAGCCCCATGCGAAAATGCACCGTGGTTTATTTACGATAGGAAAAGTTCAATTAGCGTACAGGTTAGGGCTCTAAGCGGATCCAGCAGTGACCTCATGACTATATCAATTAAGTGTATCTCGCTTTCTAATCGCTGGTGTTTAGAATGAAAAACGAAGCTAGTCGAGTACACAACTTCTAATTTCTCCTCGATAGTTGAACGACTTCTAAAACTTTCCACGATGTGCGAATCTCCGTTGCACGTGCCACACAGCTTTGTCGATCGAACGTAGAATGATCGGCCAGGTGCCTTGCACCCAATCCCTTTCCAATATGGCTGAGGTTAAAAATAGTGCTGTTATAAGTTAGTTACACAGCTTAGTTGTAATGGCGACGAAAACCTTTAATGGTATAAACAATGTATGAAATCCCTTTATAGCGATACAACTACACATCACTGTGGATATTTTTGAGTAATACTAGTCTTTCTGTGATCATTTTTTTAAATGAAATCATGCCTAAATTTATGTTATGTTCATGATCGTCTATGCCAGGTGCATACTTTTTAATTTCGAAATTTAACTTTTGCGTTTACATTTACCATGATATTAAGCAACATTGATAATAGAATATGAATTAAAACGTCGAAGGCTTATTGGTTTAAGCTCAAATTGCGAAATTTTTCTTTAAATGCCACCTGCTTTGAGATCGAAGCGTTTTCTGAAGTTAGCATTAGCATGGGACTCGGTTAAATTTGCATTGGATCTGGTTAAAGAGTTCTTTTTTGCTCCCGACAAAAATATTTAAGAGAATACGAGACAAGTATTTATGTAAGAAATGTTTTTCATTTCACAAAGTTAACATGGATAATGCAGGCAATAATAAAGATGGTAAGCCCCGTTGGAAAATGTCCCGCGGTTTATTTACGATATGNAATCCCTTTCCAATATGGCTGAGGTTAAAAATAGTGCTGTTATAAGTTAGTTACACAGCTTAGTTGTAATGGCGACGAAAACCTTTAATGGTGTAAACAATGTATGAAATCCCTTTATAGCGATACAACTACACATCACTGTGGATGTTTTTGAGTAATACTAGCCTTTCTGTGATCATTTTTTTTAAATGAAATCATGCCTAAATTTATGTTATGTTCATCATCGTCAATGACAGGTGCATGCTTTTTAATTTCGAAATTTAACTTTTGTGTTTACATTTACCATGATATTAAGCTACATTGATAATAGAATATGAATTAAATCGTCGAAGGCTTATTTTTTTAAGCTCAAATTGCCACATTTTTCTTTAAATGCCACCTGTTTTGAGATGGAAGCGTTTTCTGAAGTTAGCATTAGCATGGGACTCGGTTAAATTTGCATTGGATCTGGTTAAAGAGTTTTTTTTTGCTGCCGACAAAATATTTAAGAGGATACGAGACGAGTATTTAAGTAAAAAATGTTTTTCATTTCACAAAGTTAACATGGATAATGCAGGCAATAATAAAGATGGTAAGCCCCGTTGGAAAATGTCCCGCGGTTTATTTACGATATGAAAATTTTCAGTAAGCGCACAGGTCAAGGATAGATGCGGAGCAAGCAGTTACAATCTCTGACCAGATCGATTACGAGTATTTCACATCCCAGTGGATGGTGTTTACAATTAAAATACAAGTCAATCCGGAATAGAAATTTACACCGTCTAGTATTTTGAAAAAATACAACGAAATTTTAAAGATATAGTTTGTGAGTGTCACTTGTCTGGATGAGAGTTCCAAAGCAAAGAAATTGCCGCATGGCATATGCCACACCAAAGCTACTTTATTGAAATTAATGTACACGTACTCCAAGAACAAAAGTTAAAAGTTAATTTGATAAACAATACATCTGCCTGACTGTAGATTTCACTGCACTTCTAACTTCGCCGATCTTGAAGCAGTAAAGAAACGGGTTTATAGAGGAACTTAAGAAAATTAAAATTATTGTGAATTCCCAAGCCATGAAGAGCGAAGTTGATCGTCCATTAGTATCAAAAAGAATGACCGCGGTAACAATAATAAACGGCATGAAACAGACGTCTAATGTCCCTTGTACCCATACTGCACTACAGACTACCTTTCTCAGCCGGGCTATGTTCGGTTGAAACCTTGTTCTGTTGGTTTGTTCATGGATTTGATTTTGCTGTCGTCGGAGCTTTAAAACGATTTTCGTGTAACAGAAGCCCGAGGTTGCAACACAAACCATCATAAGGGCTATGGCTATATAGATGGTACTTGCGTGTAAGGTGGATCTTCGATATGACACGAGGGTAAAAGTAATGCTCAATAACCAGAAGCAAAGGATAACTGCAAAAGTTCGCTTGAACGTCACCGTGTGTCTGTATCTCAGTCCCAGAAACAAAGCCAGAACTCGGTCCACACTAATGGCTACCGATATCATAAGCGAAACTGCGTACAAAGTTGTAGCTGTGGCTATCATAAAATAAGCCATATAAAAACAAATTTCAACCCGTTGGCTATCCCTCGTTATAATAAACACCAAATAAATAACGTGTAGAGGTTGTGAAACAAGACCAGCCAGGATGTCAGTGAAAGCCAAGCAACGAAACAAGAGTTTTGATGGCGGATGAAGAGAAGATACCTTGCCCAACGCAGCTAGGATTAGTGAGTTCCCCACAATGGCACTGATGGCTAGTAAAATATTCAGAGTTAATGGAAGTATGATATCAGTTGCACGCAGATCGTTTACATAAAATGCATCACAGAATAAAGATTGAAACGTGTTCTCGTCCCCGCGAGTGCTGTTGCCATCCATAATCGAGCGCGGTTTAGACTCTTGGCGGTTGTTTTCCGAGTTTAATTATTAGACCACTCTGGCACCAGAAATGACAATTTGACAAAACATCAGCTAAGAAATGCAAACAGCCGCCAGTGCAATCGAGAAAGTAAAACGTAATAAGGAATTAAATTGCTCGTTAACATCAACTCTCCATTTTTATTACTTGCAGAAAATTGCGTTTTATTCAATCCATCACGTTTAGCGCGATATTAAAAGCGTTATTATGAATAAAACTAAATAGGTTTTCGTTCGCTATACGTCAAGAGTGAATCTGGCAAACATTTTTTTTTCCCATTTTCAAATGCGTTTTAACCGTAGACAGACAAGTGATTTACTGAGAGATGCCTTGCTCAATATGGCATATTCCATAAGGATATGAGGATCCAAAAAGCAAACACTATGGCTAAGTCAAAAACGAAATTAAACTGACTGGGTAAATTAACGTATATTATTACTTCAATACATTAAGAGAGTTAGTGGTAATTAATTCAAAACATGGAAGTCGTGGGCGGCACACTTCAAAATGAAATAGCCGATCCCTATTTTTTTTTACTGCCAAGTTTCCCTTTCCCTTTTTTTTTTTTTTGGTTTGTCATGCGTACGCTGACTTGACGGCGTAATATAATCTACTTGGTATTTTCTACCTTAGAAACTATTGTTTTGACTTTTCCCTCAATTCGTAAGTAATGTTGTTCTACCAAGAAAATCACTTTTAATATCACAGTATGACCCCTATTTCTTTTCTCTTCTTCTTCTTAAGTTTTTTTTACCTTTTTAATCCTTTTCTTCTCTTTTCCTTTCTATATTTTCCCAATATAGGTTCAAAATTGTGCAATTTATCACTTGCAGCTGATTTCATGGGAGCATGTCCAAACAGAACGACTGTAACCACCCAAATGAATAATCACGTGATCTGAATTGGGTGGAAAACAATTAAGGATGTAAACACATTAGCCGAATCTGTCTATCCCAATACAACTAAATTCATGAAATGTTTTTCTTGTTTCTGGTTTTTCTTGTCAACGTTGATAGATATTTTGTTCTCTGCCCAATGGTTACTACGGTGTCATTCAGTGGGAAGTTAGCACTTGCAATTACCTAATTCACTACTTTTGGTAGCGAGGCGTCCGTTCTTAATTTTAAATTGAGAGCTTAAGCAATGACGACGGTAGCCCCGAGGACAACGCCATTAAAATGATTCTAGACTTTATTTTTGAATTTCGTAGTTGCCTAGATCATGGTCTCCTGAAACTCCAGCGTTCAATTCCAAATGAAAATAAGGGGAAAAAATAGCCGCCATCGTCGCGTTCTCCAAAAATACGCAGAACTTAGTCATTTCACGTTGTTGTTGCAAAGGACGGCAAAGAAATGTAGAACGATATATAACACAGGTGCAAGGCCATTTTTCTACTTAATAAACCCTTTTTTGATGCCTTCTTGTCAAAATATGCTAACTTTCCCTAGCAAGATCGATAGAGCAGATTGAATTGTTTGCGATTTTAACATGGTTTTTAGAACGGAAGTATTAACCTACAGTAATGTGAGAGTGTGAGGCTTTCCACTTGCTGAGCCTGGCAAACGCTTAAGCCTTACGTGTGATCTTGGGCGTTTAGTAATGGCTTTCGTGATTGTTTTTGTCTTTTTGGCACTNTTTTTTTTTTTTTTTTTTTTTTGGTTTGTCATGCGTACGCTGACTTGACGGCGTAATATAATCCACTTGGTATTTTCTACCTTAGAAACCATTATTTTGACTTTTACCCAAATTCGTAAGTAATGTTGTTGTACCAAGAAAATCACTTTTAATCTTCACAGTATGACCCATATTTGTTTTCTCCTCTTCTTTTGTTTGTTTGTTTTTTTTTTCCTTTTTTATCCTTTTCTTCTCTTTTCCTTTCTATATTTTCCCAATATAGGTTCACAATTGTGCAATTTATCACTTGCAGCTGATTTCATGGGAGCATGTACAAACAGAACGACTGTAACCACCCAAATGAATAATCACGTGATCTGAATTGGGTGGAAAACAATTAAGGATGTAAACACATTAGCCGAATCTGTCTATCCCAATACAACTAAATTCATGAAATGTTTTTCTTGTTTCTGGTTTTTCTTGTCAACGTTGATAGATATTTTGTTCTCTGCCCAATGGTTACTACGGTGTCATTCAGTGGGAAGTTAGCACTTGCAATTACCTAATTCACTACTTTTGGTAGCGAGGCGTCCGTTCTTAATTTTAAATTGAGAGCTTAAGCAATGACGACGGTAGCCCCGAGGACAACGCCATTAAAATGATTCTAGACTTTATTTTTGAATTTCGTAGTTGCCTAGATCATGGTCTCCTGAAACTCCAGCGTTCAATTCCAAATGAAAATAAGGGGAAAAAATAGCCGCCATCGTCGCGTTCTCCAAAAATACGCAGAACTTAGTCATTTCACGTTGTTGTTGCAAAGGACGGCAAAGAAATGTAGAACGATATATAACACAGGTGCAAGGCCATTTTTCTACTTAATAAACCCTTTTTTGATGCCTTCTTGTCAAAATATGCTAACTTTCCCTAGCAAGATCGATAGAGCAGATTGAATTGTTTGCGATTTTAACATGGTTTTTAGAACGGAAGTATTAACCTACAGTAATGTGAGAGTGTGAGGCTTTCCACTTGCTGAGCCTGGCAAACGCTTAAGCCTTACGTGTGATCTTGGGCGTTTAGTAATGGCTTTCGTGATTGTTTTTGTCTTTTTGGCACTCAGTTTGACAGTTCTAGTCAACATTATTTGTGCAGGTTGTCAAACAATGAACATTGCCCATACTGAAATAAATGTAGCTTGACGCAGTTTAAATACAAAGATCACGTACGCGTTGTAACTTAATGTATGACATGAACGTTTTAACTTGAACCGTAAAGGGGTAGCAAATAGCTAAGCTGAAACACTATATAATAACACATAAGTAGTACTAAATGACTGTTCTATGCTTATTGAAAAGGCTAATACCTAAAAATACAACTTACAAATACAACGAACGTATTTAAATGCATATAATTTAAGGCCATTGGGTCATGTACAACCCACATGTAAATGTATTATCCGG